GGCACATACACATACAGAGACAGACACACTCACAGGCATCGAAGTTGACATATGACCTTAACTAACCAAAGCAATTAATAGATAATAAAAGAGGCCAGATTTAGAGTATATATACCACTTTTTAGGAAATTGCCGGTGAGTTTTCTTGACTCGTTAGCTTGAATTTGGTTGTGGCGATGATATTCGTCAAATGACGGACGAAATCTTAGCACCTTTTCACCGGAATCGAAGGAGATTGCATCGGAAACAGTGTCAGCATGAATCTTCCAGTAAAGCCAATCGACAGCTGGCCAAGAGGAATGCGCCGTCGTTTTTTGGTGTAACCGACCTTCGAATCTCTTTACCAAACACTTTCACTCGAAATGGAAGTAAGCTCACCATAATAATAGTGTCAAAATGCACTCAGGGATGAAGAATTTGTGGAATTCCATCTGTCAGGACGGTATTTCTTATGACGAGAAGGCCCCAAAGTTGACAGACTTGTCGCGGTGGGTGAGCTTGCACTTGACAGGCCCCAGTGCTTAAAGGTTGGGCCCGGTTAATCATAGCAAAGACCGTCCGGCGCCAACTAGTTAACTCGCCAGGAATACTCCGCGGCCAAGTTGTATCGCATCTCCAGTCCTCCATTCTCGCTGCCTCAGGCGTAAGTGCAGTATTGTGCACGGTTCCATGTGCGCACACTTTGCTGCTGTCCAGCTGTCCTGTCCGTACTCCTCCGGGCAATGTGCACGTACGTCGTCAGCGTCTTACTGCCAATGCTCAGCCCCATAGTCTGGACCAGAATGAGCTTATTCGTGTTTATGCGCACTCCTCCTCGCGATTCTGAGCTATGCAGATCGTATGGATTTGTGTGTTCACCTCTTCCAGTATTGGTTGTCCGGCCGGTGGCTGGTAAAGGTCATCGTCCAGACTGTAGACTTGTTCCCTAAGCTCTCATAGCTACCAATGTGAACACGATTTTAGACACAAATGCACAAATATACACCTGATCTGCTGTGTGCTAATGTACTTTCTACATTCAGGACAAAAATGTGCTTCTAATTTTTCAGAAGTCCCTTTTTCATCAACTATTTCGAGTAAAAATGCAAGTGCACACGAATAAATGCAGACATACACACATATGCACAGGATAAGTTACATGCTATACTTTTTGGTGTATTGTTAAGGTATATCGAGGCTTGTTTTTGGCTATTGTGAGTCTACTTCACCATCACTCTTTTTCTTTCACTCTTGGCCAACAGATCATATCGATTCATTCAGAACTCGTAAACCAGCCTCGAGTCTGCCATTCTCCATCATATACGCATTGTGCCGGTCAATTCTGCCGCCGTCAAGTCTTCGGCAGCACCAACTTACTTCACTCATTCCACTTTTGTGACAGATAGATCCTCAAGGATATCTGCCTGCCAGGCAGTCTCGATAAGTCTGGCTGTCGAGAAGCAAGTCGTAAAGCCCCGACCTTTACAATGAGTCGCCGCGATCCCGATCTGCCAGCTGACATCGAGGTGATCCAAGCCGACATGCCGCTAGAGCTAAAGCAGAAGATCATTAACTTTGTTCGTCCTCCCCTCGAGGAACTCCGCCAACAGGGTAGCACAGCCAACCTACGCTTTGAGCCGATCACACAAGAACTAAAACGGCATCTGGACACTACAGATGGTCCACTTTGGCATGTCGTCATTTTAGTTGGCCAATTCACTACTCACTTCTCCTATTCTCCAGGTTGTCTCTTCCACTTCAAGTTGGGCCGATTCATTGTACTCGCTTGGAAGACGCCACATCTGTAGTAGTAAGGGCAACGGATTTTGTTCAAATGTTTAGTCACTTGGACATCTACCTGATCTGGATAGCAAACTGTGATTACCTATCCTCCACTTTGTGTATCTAGTTTTCCTATTCGCATAAATCCATCCATCCCATCATCCCTTTAGCCATTTTTCATTAAGCATTTCAATGAATCACCCATACTTCAATCTCTTGACCAAACGACACTCAAACATACGTGCATGCACTTATCTATTCATCTATTTACAC